CTCTTCCTCTTTATTCATATAAGATGCACAAACATAGATAAGGGAACACATGCATGCACATGCTCTGTGGACCACACAGCCAGGTAAGAAACTACCATTACACTGAAGTTGAATTCTAAATGTGTGAATGCTTAGAAAAAAAGCCACTATCAAGGGATTCAGGATCAGCCTGGTTCTCATACTTATGTTATATAATGAACATCTCACTTTGGAGAACTTAAAAAACTTAAGAGCCAAATTAGTCTTGCCCAACCTTTATTTTGTTTTATTTTTTTAATTGAAGTATAATTGACATAACTTTATATTAGTTTCAGGTATACAGCATAACGTGTTAATATTTGTGTACATTGTGAAATGATCACCACTATTGAGTTTATTTAACATTTATCATCATAACATATTTACTAGTGTTTTTTTCTTTTGATGAGACCTTTTAAGATCCCAGCCCTTGGTTTCTTTTACTCCCCTTCTGGGTCTCATCTATAAAATGGAAGTAGTAGAAGAAATGGAGCCTAAGGACCTTCCTGGCCTTTAAAATTAAACTTTCTTTTCTTTCAAATTAAACCTGACTACTGGAGGTCAGGTGGAGGCAGCAATCTCTTAAAAGGTTCTGGGTTTTGTGATCAGTATTAATGAGGTCTTCCCACAGGGTAAAAACGTGGACTGTGGAAAGTTGCTGTGATAGCCTTTCAGTGCAGACTGTGTTAAATGTCAGTATGGATTAGCCCTAAATGGAGGGTCAGTCACTTATTCTTACAGAAAACTTACTCTTGATTTAGAGCTTAATCATGTACCCTCTGTTTTACACTGCTGAAGAACACTGTTCAGTCGGTTAACAGTCTTGTCTCCCAGTGTCCCTTTCACACCTGACCCCATTTCTACCTCCATCCCCATCCTAAGGCTAGTTTAAATTGTTTGTCCCAATTGCCCAGAGAAAGTCTAACCAAAGGTTCTTTCCTATAGGGGGAATGAGGAGCTTCCCCATATCCATCACAAGTCCATTTTATGGTCCTTGGTCAACTTGAAACTGTCTGCCATAGAGTAATTTTTCTAAAATCCCACTCTGATCATCCCCTTTCATGTTTAAAAACTCTTCAGTAGCTCCCTACTGCCCTCGCATAAGTTCAGACCCCTTAGAATTTTTTTAAAAACTTCCCAACCTAGTCCATACCTGCCTTTCTCACCTTAAATCCTGCCTCTCATTACTTATTTCCATCACTAGGAGATATGAGATTACTCACTATTCACTAAAGACTCCAGAGACCCTCACGCCTCTGTGCTTTCTCATACTCTGTTCTGTCTTCTTTGAATATCCACCCTCCCCGCTTTTCCTGGCCTGTCCGAACCCAGCTTTTAATGCCCAGCTCAAATGTCTTCCTCTCTGGGAAGCCCTCCCCTTCTCCCGAGCTGCTCACCTGTGTACCCACTGCAATTTGTACATTCCTCTCTCTTAGCGTTTGTCCTATTATTCTATAATCATTTACAGAGACTGCCCATATCATATTCATGACTATCTGCCCTGAAGTTCCCAGCATGGTGCCTCACCCGTTTAAGCATTCAGTTACTGTTGTTGAATGTTAATGACCTCAGGTCTGAGCCTAAATCTCTGATTCCAGAGTGAATTAGACTGTTCCAAATAAGAACAGATGCCCTAGGCCCACCCAGATTCCAGACCCAGACCTAAAGTCAGAAAGCCCACCCAAGACTCATTAGACCTCCTAGAGCCAGGGGTGGGGTGAGAGTTAATGGTCCTTCATCCTTCTCTGAATGCTCTTTCAAGTCAAATGACTAGTGTTTTTGCAAGGCTATTCTGTAACAGCCATCTGTGTCTGCAAGGATTAGGATCTAATTTGTAAAAGTCATCTTAAATTACAGCCAAACTAAAGACTGTTAAAAAGCACATCTTAAGACCTCACCTCTTTAATAACAAATAACATAAGACTTAACTCTAGGAGTCTTATTGTGTCTTCAGCCTTTTCTCCACAAAACAGAGACTGGTTTCTCACCGAAGGACCTGTTAAACTTTCTCCTGCGCCCCCACCCCCCAAACAAAACAATACTTCATGTTAAGATTTCCCAGCTGTCCAACTATTTACTAAATGTCTGGTGGGTATGCCACTGAACTGAGCACTGTGGGACGACCAAAATAGCAGACGCAGGCCTTCTCCAGAAAAGCTGATTGTCAAAATGCTGGGAACATTATTTGTTTGTTTTTGTTATTTTGTTCTCCATTTTGCTAATAACGGTTACCAAGAGAAGAAATCGTGTTCATTCCCAGAGCTTTGGTCATTAAGCATTACCTCTTGGATATGTTAGAGCCATGTGAGCATCAACGGCCCATTGTTCTTACTTGGGCATTGCAAGGTAGGTGCTTGTGAGGTAGTTGAGTTCTAAAAGCTGAAGAATGACACTGACCCCCCGTTTCTACTCACCCTGCCTCGGACTTGGAATAAGGGGCCCTTGCCAGCCCCCCAGCCACTCAGTGTGAGGTTGTTAATATCCCCTAGCCTTCCTCTTTCCTTTTCTCTCCTTCTTTTCCCATCCCTCTCCTCCTTCTTTCTACTTTTTTATCCTTTCCCCCTTCTGTCTACTCTTCCCTCGCTTTTTTATCCCACAACTCTTCCCTTTCCGCCCTCCTTGGTTTTCTTTCATTTGCCTACGTATATCCATATCACTCAGAGAAGTTCCACCTACAACTGGAAAGTGAGGTCTTTCTATTTACAAAATGATTGGTGAATACTAGGAAAAGAGGATGGAAATGGCAGGTTAGCTTCAGGACTAGTGGCCCGCGTGCTTCGTCATTAATGTAATCACACACAGCCTCTGTTCTTGCCCTGAGAACATTTCTTCCTCTAGATCTGCAGATGTGAACCCTCAAAACAGATAAAGATGCATTCAGAAATACAGTATCTTACGTTTTATATGTATTCTAAAACAAAGAACTGAATATTTATATTTTCTCCCAGATTTCTAGGTTTTTTTTCCTCCATAACTATAACTCATAAATTTTTTCCTTCTCTCTCTGTTTAAAGGAGCAGAGTATAAACAAGCTTCTAGCAGGGTTTTTCACAGAGTAGGCCCTCAGTAAAGATTTGTTTAAATGAACTGGGGGGAAGTCCTTACAAATTTAGGATACACAGATTCCTTCCTCTGTCATCCATCCACCTTTATTATCCTAAGCACTAAGCTTGGCATTGGGAGCACAGTGCTGAAAAACTAGCTTAGT